GGTAGGGCCAGTATTCTATTGGGGTGGGGCCAGAGGCGCAATATTGGCAACAGAGATCAATATGAACATATCTTAGAAGGGAAGTAGCATTATTATACTGGCTTCAAAGAAAAAGAGGATGTTTATATATATATATATATATATATATATATATATATATATATATATATATATATATATATATATATATATATATATATATAATATGTGTGTGTGTGTGTATGTGACAGCTCCCTTCCTAAAAGATCTTTCACTTGAGTTGCAACCCCCATGAAAGGGAGGATCAACACCCTCTCAAGCTCTTGGCCTAGTGAAGGAGATGAGCAAATTGAGCCACCCTGAAAAAGGAGAGCAACAATCTTGCTTTACAACTTTTTAGCAAGAGCTCACCCTTTAAAGCAATCTCACTCTTAAGTTCTGAGAAAGGTCTCCATCTGATCAAAGTCACATGATGGGTCATTGACCATTGCCCAGCCAAGCCACCAGGCACAGGTCAGTGGTGACAGATCATTGTCCAGACACTGGTTTGTAGTTGATTCACTGGTCAGTGTAGTTCATCAGCATTCAGAGGTCAATATCCACTCCATCACCATTCTACTGATAAATCATTTGGATTAGGAAGTCTGTTAGTCTGATTAAAATCTTATATACACTGCTGTTAAAGAAAATCTGACAGTGACTGCTTACAGGGTCATGTTCTGAATGATAATTTTGTCAACCACTCAGACTAAGTCTTATATGCAGTGGGAACAAAAAGCATGAATTTTTTAAGGAGTCACTTTCAATTTCAAAGGTCACAGAACATGATCCATAAGTGATCATGGTCAGATCTTTACATGAGAGAGTGGAGATCTGATTTCGTCAGATCTTTACATGAGAGAGTGGAGATCTGATTTTGTCAGATCTTTACATAAGAGAGTGGAGATCTGATTTTGTCAGATCTTTACATAAGAGAGTGGACATCTGATTTCGTCAGATCTTTACATGAGAGAGTGGAGATCTGATTTCATCAAATCTTTACATGAGAGAGTGGACATCTGATTTCGTCAGATCTTTACATGAGAGATGGATGGGAACCTTCCTTCCTAATCATGTCACCATGGTTGCCTATACTGTTGCCTCAGCAGTTTAAATGTTACAGGTTGCAGACGTTCTTGTGGAGTCAAACAAAGAATGGAAGTGTTGGTCCTCTCCCCTTGTTTAATCAGAGTGAGACAAGAAGAGTAAAAGGTCTTGTCAATATTGGATCAAAAATGTTCAGCATCCATTTGTTTTACTACATCAAACTAGTATACTTCATAAATGGCACCCACATGTATGTTTTTCTATGGATGGTCTTTCCTATAGGTATCACAGTACCAGTTGTTTTTCCATAGACCTCAGTACTAATGATTTATGAAATAAATTTTTTTTCTACGCTACCTTGGCAAATGTGTAAAATGCTGTCATAGAGAACAATGTTAGAATGTGAAACTGACACAAATAGAATCAGTTACTCCATTGCATTTAAGAGAGATAACTCTGCATGAGATGTGTATCACATTTTTAAAAAAATCATAAAAAATACAAATATGATCTAGATATGAATTAACATAATCTCAGATTTTGCCAGGAGATTCAGCTTTTTGTTAAGCATGACAGAACTACAACTCTTACATTATACACCAGTTAGTTTTGTTGTTTATTTCTGAGTACAATGTTCTGTGCACCTTAAGCTTCTCCCACATGCGCTTGTACAGTTGTACAGTTAGTATGCATGTTGAAGACAAGAAACAAAATGGTGAATAATCAGTATAGAAAAATAAAAAGTAATTTTCTGTTATTTCTGAATAATAGCATGAAGGGACACAATTACATTCATTGGATGTCACGTGTCAGTTTAAGTATGTCTCATGGTGGAATATGTGATTGCCTTTGAGTGTGAAATGGAAAAAGATTTAAAGAATTACCTGGAGCAAAGAGATAGTAACAAGCCACTGAACTCCCTAGGGTTTGGTGTAGTAAATAAGGTCCATGTGTAGTTGAATATGATGTTTACCACTGCTGCATGTAGAATACCAAACCTTTCAAATGCATGTTTGCCAACTTTGCAATAGCAGTATGTGATTTTTTTTTTACACCTTACGGAAAACCAATCCTACTGATGGACAAAAAAAAACCCAGCTGCCTTTCTCTGAGCCTTGTTAGGGTGAACATGTATGGTAAGGGGAATAACTCTATTCCTCCAAGGGTTGCATGGGTTATCAGAGTTGCATCCCTTCTGTTTTGTGCACAGCAATGTCCATTTGTTTTCAAAATGTCTAGCACAGTTTACAGTGCGGTCATAATGCATGGGAACACTGGGCAGTTGCCAAGGGCCTCAGCTTCTAAGGGCATCATGCCCATACTGTTAATGAATAGTAGGGCCAGTAGGGGGCCCCAGTGCATTGCATTGCCATGAGCCTACAATGTTATTAAGACGGCAACGACTGTTTAAAGTTTTTTAATACATATCTAAACTTATCAAAAGAATTACCTTTTTGGAATTACTGTAATGATAAAAAATATTTTGACTGTAGGGTCAACCAGTGCATAAAAGACAACTTTGACTGATACAGTGTAATCGTTTCCCAGTTTGACTGAGCTTTGTTACAACTCTTGAAATCACATTTTCATTCCGATTTTGATCATGCTTACATGGTCCATATTTCATGTGACAATGATAATGTGCATGATCCATGACTATTAATGAGTTGAATTTGGATCTGATTGGCTGGTAAGTATATCATGGTTTGTTTTTTTATTTTGAGGAGAAAAAAAAGTTCTAAATATATGAATGAGTTTATCTTGCACATGTTTGTCAGAGCTTCACTTTGATACTTTTGAAAATGTGTTTCTACCCTATTTTTAATCAAACTTGATAAATCAACCAATAGTATCAAGATGTTGGATGATTTTTAAATCAACTGACCAAATCAAGGTATCACTGCATTTGTCATTAATCATGCATGTGTCATATGTAATTCATAACTGGTATCCAACCATCCTTCAACTATTGCTTAATGCCACACTGGAGTACATGTTTCTGATCTGATTTAAATAAAATTTGTGTCCTTGGATTTATGTCATAAAAATCTTATTGCTTTTAAATGACTAACCTAGGTACCATTCTTAAAGACACTGCTGATCCAGTTTTGACCAGGCTTCAGTCTGATTAAAATCAGATACCCACTGTCCTTTGTGAAGATCTGACAGCAACTGCTTAGGGATCATGTTTTGGTGACCTTTGAATTAGTGACTGGAAATGTTGTAGGGTTTAACATGGAGGTCAAGATTAATAGTAGAGGAAGAACCAGGGAAAACCCCAGAAAGAACCACCAACACATGAAAAGCTACTGGCAAGCTTTCTCACATACCCACATTGGCCAAATCTGAGACTGAAACCCATGCAAGGGTAAGATGGCAGTGATCTATAACGGTGAGCACTTTAGACCACTCAGCCACTTGGGGTCCCCATGGAAATGCAGATTTAAAAAATCTGAAAGTGATTCTACTTGGTCTGCACACATTGATGCATTTTGGACATAGAGCTTAGTCTCCAAATGCAGAAATATAAGACTTCATCTGATTGGCTGATAAAATGAGTGATTAAAGTAATAATTTAGGCTGCCAATGACCACCCAAGGTGGAAGTTTTCTAACCCTCTTTCCTTTCATGAAGAAGGCAAGAGGAACAATCTTCACAGGGCAAACATGGAGAACATCACTCTGTTAATTCACCATATTCCATTTAGAGGATAATTTCTGCAAGATAGGTAAAGTAGTCCTCATGGAATGGTCACTGCATCACTCTGTAGCAGAGTCCCTTTTGAAAATATGGGGAAAATCTCTGGTTGACTTGCTTGTGACCAGGTTCAAAAACAGACTTTCCATTTACATTAACCCAGACGAGAGAGCTTCTGGTGGTATCATTTATTTGCATAGGCTTATCCAGCATTCTGAGAAAGAAATGTCAAGACATCACTGCTAATATCATTCCTATAGTCCCACAGTGACTAAGTTGATTCAGTGATATTCTAGACCTGCCTGCCTCAGAGGAGGGATCTTCTGACACAAAATGGAGCTCTCTTCTACACAACAACCCTCATTCTCAACCTTCACGATTGGAGATCCCCAGTCTAGTCTCAGTTGAATCTGTACTGGAGTTGATCAAGATAGGCTGATAAGCCTCAGTGCCACTGAAGGATTAAAAACATCTTTTACCACTACCATCAAAAGAGCTTATCAGTCCATTACAGATAGACACCATTCTTTTATGAAACTTATAGTCCATGAGGTTCAAGCTGTTATTGGGACTGTTAGTTGCACACAACATGTGGCCTAGGGAGAAATCAGTATTCAGAAAAAGGGGTTTTCTTCCTCAGTGATAAGTTCACATTCCATATTTCTGTGTCTTAATCACCTGTTTTTATTCCAGGTTATGTATTACTGTTATTAATTTTAATTATATACCTGTAGCTGCTGATGAATATGGATGGGCATGTGAGGTGCAGGAGTGGATTGATTCTTAATGATAATTCTTCACTCCATTTATTCACAGCTAAAGGATGAGGTTTTTTTGGCATGAGAAAAAGAGTAAGGTATGCAATAGTGACAGGTTAGTAATACATAATTAAAATTAGTTTTAACCCCCCCTCTCACGAACCATTCAAAAATTGCATTCAAGTGAGAGTAGGAATTGATCTGCATGACTGCTAGTCTCCCTCTGTGTACTTTCCAGCAGTAAATATTAAAAAAGCTAGTATTCACATGTTGGCTCAATGTCACATTGATGATAATTGATTTTATAACTATAAAAGTGGTTCATTAATTGATTATGTCAACTATCTCAAGATGGAAGGTTGTTTGTCTTTTATCATTTCCTATAAAAAACCTAGTCAAAGCTTTGATCAAGAGTTACGGGGCATGTTGATGTTATTGCTGTGGACAGGACCTTTAGTTAATACACATGGTTGAACACTCGGGTGGCCTAAGTGGTTAGAGCATCCACCTCGGATGTGGGAGGTCTATGGTTTGAACCCTGGCAGAGTCCTACCAAAGATTTAAAAAATGGTACTGACAGCTGCCTCGACTGGTGCTTAGCCTTAAGAGGTTTGTGTTAGTATTGGTCGGCCTGGTGTCAGGATATTGTAACTAGGTGGGACATGATGTTACATGTCTGCAGCATGATATCCCATTGCAAGACATCACTATAAACTGTACACTACAAATATAACGAAATGACTGAAACTTGTTTAATAGCTACATTAAAAATCCAAATCACACACACAATGAGTGGACGTGTCACACTGAGTGGATGTGTTATGATTCTTTATACTGAGTGGATGTGTCTCTGTTTCAGTATAATGAGTGGTTGTGTTGAGATTCATTATACTTAGTGTACGTGTCATGTATCATTACACTGAGTGGATATATCTTGTTTCAGTTTTAAATAATCAACATATTGCGATTAAAACATGAAATCGTCTGTTTTAGTATTCTATTTTCAACAATCTAGACATTTTTCAGCACTATTTCACAAATATTATGGGACTGAAATTTCAAGCACAATTTCACAAATATTATAAGATGGAAATTTCAAGCATGATTTCACAAATATTATGGGACAGATTTCAAGCATGATTTCAAAATTATTTTGAGAAAATTTAAAGCACGATTTCATAATATTGAATTTAATGATATCTATAAACTTTTGTTCAGATTTTGCTGGAGTTAGAGCCTCTATCAAGTGTGAAGTCTAAGTCGACAATTTCCTAAACGATGTAATTTTTGATATTCTACAGGGTCCTAATCATAGTTTTAAGTAATACCATGGTGTTGGGACCTTTTATGTTTGAGAAATGATCTAAGTTTTATTTAAGGTAATCAGGAATGAAGCCCAGACCATTTTTTTGGTGAAGAAAAGGACCTTCTGGAAACTATATTGTTCAGGAGTGAAGTTTTCGAAATATTGTGCATTTTTGAAAAGTTTCTTATTGGTTACAGAGAACCTTTAGAAAAATTTAAGTCAAAACTCGAAACAGTCAGATTGTCATTATCCTTTTCAGATCTGCATCAAGAGAATCCATGATGTGAGTAGATTTGAAGCATCAATATATGAAGTCCAGTTGATAGTGGCTGGATGAAATGACAAATAACCTTGACCATCCTTCATATACCTGACCTTTGACCTAGCCTACAGCAGACAAATCTGTTGGAGGATCCATTTATGTAAGGGTTTGTATTGTATAAACCAGCCCATTGCCATCCAAATAGTGTTATAAAGTATATGTAACACAGAATTAAAATGTGGACCAGGACCAGTTGGTTCTGGCTAGTTTCAAGTCTCAGACTTATTCTCAATAGTCATCAAAATGTATTGAGTAATCTTTATAACTGTATTTATCTATTTTCAAACCTCTGTGTGTGTGTGTGTGTATCTATATATATATATATATATATATATATATATATATATATATATATATATATATATATATATATATATATATATATAAGGCATAATATACCTATTTTTCATTATATATTGAGATTTGTTTAAATAATGGTTAATCTGAAGCATTAATAAAGAAAAAACAAACGGCCTTTGATTTTGTTATTAGCTCTACTGGTCATAGACCAGAAGAGATTATGGAATGGTTTTCATTCATTTGTGAATCTGTTCTTTAGTACAAGTTATTTTTATTGCTACAGCTTGTAAATTACTTAGATGATTGCCATAAAATTACATACACACATTCATTCCATGGTATAGTTGGTTGTGAATGACAGTGGTTCTGCTTGGCTGCCACAGTGACCATCTTGAAAATCTTGTTATTGCTACTTTTCCTAATGGGTGATCTTAATCACTCAAAGGCTTTTTCTGATGTCTTCTTGGCTCTAAGTGACAGTGGTGCTGATATGTTGTCTAGCTGGTCCAAAGTGACAGTTGTGCTGATCATATGTCCAACTAGACCTTCATGGCAGACATCTTGAACATTTTTTTTATCACTACTTCTCCAGAATGGATGGTCATATCAGTATGGGATTTTCACTAAAAGACTTCTTATGATATCTAGTTGGTATAGAACGAAATTGTACAGCAGAAGCCATTTTGAACATTTTGCTTTTGCAACACCTCCTAAATGAATGGTTATTATCCATATGGACATTGTCACTAAAACACTTCATATGTCTAGATGGTCCTAAATAAAAATAGTGCTTACCCTGACATCCTGTACGACCACACAGCATCCATCTTGAAAAGCTTTTTATCACAGCTTCTTCTGAATAGAAAGTTATATATTACAATGTCCAGTTGAACTTAAATAAAATGGTGCTGATCTGACATCCAATATGCCCACCATACACTAGACATTTTGAAAATCTTTTTATGGATGCTCCTGAATGGATAGTCATATCTGCAGAGTTTTTCGCTAAAAGACTCCTTATGATGTCATTTGTCCTGAATAAAAATGGAGCCAGTCTGATATCCAATATGGCTGCCAAAGTAGCCATCATGAAAATCTTGTCATATCAGCCAGCATGGTGTTTTCATTAAAAGAATTCATATGTTTTGTTGATTCCAAAATAAAAATGGTGTTGATTTGACATCCTGTATGTGGGAATCTTGAAAATATTGTTCATGCTCTTCCTTTAAAATGAAAGATCATTTGTTTTTACATGGAGTTATTATCAGAAGATTATTATGGCGGCCAGATGGTCCTTGTTGAAAATGACATCCTCAGTACAGCCACCATGGTGACTGTCTTGAAAATACTGTCTTAAATTCTTTCAAAATGGATGGCTATATCAATATGGCTTTTTTACCAGTGGACTTCTTATCTTATGCTATATCAGTAAGTATTAATCACCAGTATGGTGCCTGTCTGAAGTCCTGTATGGTCACCTGAGCAGCCATTTTTAAAATCGTTTTCATGCTCCTCATGAATGGAATCCAGTATGGCCACCTTAGCAGCCATCTTTAAAATCATTTTCTTGCACCTCATGAATGGAATCCAGTATGGTCACCTAGCAGCCATCTTTAAAATCATTTTCTTGCACCTCATGAATGGACTTCAGTATAGCCACCTCAGCAGCCATCTTTAAAATTGTTTTCTTGCTCCTCATGAATGGAAAGTCATATCTTGAAAAATATAGTTATCTCTACTCCTTCCAACATGGGGTTTTCACCATTTGACTTTTATGTTACCTAGTTGGTCCTAAATGAAAATGGTGCCATCATATATCCAACATTGCTGCCATGGTGTATGTTTTAAAATTATTCTTGTCACTTCTTCCCATGAATGGATATCATTATGACATTGGGCTTGCACCAAAAGACTTTTAAAAATGCCTACTTTGTCCTGAATGAAAAAGATGTCAGTCTTACATCCAGTAAGTACACCACAGCAGCCAATTGAAAATCTTATTTTCACTGAACAATATCAGAAATTTGTTTCAACACTTGGCAGTTAAAAGGGAGAAATGGTCTTATTTTGAATTCCTAGTAACTCTTTTGATCCAGTAGAGAAGTACCTTTTAGAGACACTCTTTTCTATTTTCATTGTCAGCAGTTGTTAGTTTGAGATTTGGAAAAACCTGACTTAAACTATCAGTCATTAAGAAACCTTCATGAGTTCCCATAATCTCATAATATAAATTTGGTGTGAGAGAGAGAGTTATAGCAGACTGGTTTTAATTAAATATCACAGTTCTATAAAACCTGTTGGGTTTTTTTATTCTCTATTTTTGAAACCACTCATATTTGTTTGGCGTGATAGCATTGAATAATCATCAGCATGACATAAATCTGTGCCATAATAATTTGTAAACAGTATGACATAAATCTGTGCCATAATAATTTGTAAACAGTATGACAAATCTGAGCCATAATTTGTAAACAGTATGATATAAATCTGTGCCATAATAATTTGTAAACAGTATGACAAATCTATGCATAATAATTTGTAAACAGTATGACATAAATCTGTGCCATAATAATTTGTAAACAGTATACATAAATCTGTGTTATAATAATTTGTAAACAGTATACATAAATCTGTGTTATAATAATTTGTAAACAGTATGACAAATCTGTGCCATAATAATTTGTAAACAGTATGACATAAATCTGTGCCATAATAATTTGTAAACAGTATGATATAAATCTGTGTCATAATAATTTGGAAACAGTATGACAGATCTATGCCATAATAATTTGTAAACAGTATGACAAATCTGTGCCATAATAATTTGTAAACAGTATGATATAAATCTGTGGCATAAATAATTTGTAAACAGTATGATATAAATCTGTGCCATAATAATTTGTAAACAGTATGACATAAATCTTTGCCATAATAATTTGTAAACAGTATGCATAAATCTGTGTTATAATAATTTGTAAACAGTATGACATAAATCTGTGCCATAATAATTTGCAAACAGTATGACATAAATCTGTGTTATAATAATTTGTAAACAGTATGACATAAATCTGTGCCATAATAATTTGTAAACAGTGACAAAAATCTGTGCCATAATAATTTGTAAACTGTTTGATATAAATCTGTGCCATAATAATTTGTAAACAGTATACATAAATCTGTGCCATAATAATTTGTAAACAGTATACATAAATCTGTGTTATAATAATTTGTAAACAGTGACATAAATCTGTGCCATAATAATTTGTAAACTGTTTGATATAAATCTGTGCCATAATAATTTGTAAACAGTGACATAAATCTGTGCCATAATAATTTGTAAACAGTGACATAAATCTGTGCCATAATAATTTGTAAACTGTTTGATATAAATCTGTGCCATAATAATTTGTAAACAGTGACATAAATCTGTGCCATAATAATTTGTAAACTGTTTGATATATATCTGTGGCATAAATAATTTGTAAACAGTATGATATTAATCTGTGCCATAATAATTTGTAAACCAAGATTCATTAGGATAATCATATGCTTGAACTTATCACAAATTGGCTGATCAGATGGTCTGCAGACGGGAAAAATTGGAATGTCCATGTTTAAAAAT